ATACTCATATCATGGTGTTTACACCCATATGCATAAGAGGGAATCTCACCAAACATACCTCACCAGACTGTGTAAAACAGGGAGGTATTTAAATTCATTTTTCTATTGATTTTTGGCTGACTTTTTGTGTTTCCTGAAGTTATTTGGCTGCAGAATTACCAAAAATATCAAGAAATGGACTGTAACTTGTTCCCTTATCATGTTTTACATTTTCTTTCATGTGATCTTCAACATCCAACATTTAATAGTTTGATTATTAAAATCTGACAATTCTACATTTTTCCATTCATGCCAATAGTAGTTCTTGACACTGGTTAGAAATATGATAGGCTTGCCTACAGGGAATTGTTTATTCTGTCAATGTTCATCTGCAAACATGTTCTTTAAAGTTTTCTTAAAACACTTTTTTTCCCTTTTTATTTTGGGGTCTACAGGGACGTATTGTTTCAGACTTGCGCTTGCATACGTAGAACAAAGAAAGGGCTGTTTTCCAGGCAAATATCAATCTCTGGGGAAATTGCAATGTTGCCAAAATGATTGATGAAAAATAAAGAAAAACAACACCATGGAATGTATTTAAGGCACAGCACTTAGTACTTCACTGCAGTGTATTATACAGTAATCCAATTCTAATTAAAAGTTTTGGTTCAGTCAGAGAAAGGTTTGAAGGTGCGGTGGGGTCAGATCACTGACCTCTGGATAGAAACAAAGCTTTGGGAGTGGAAAGAGAATGTGAAGTTAATCCTTTTCTTAAATATGTTGAAGTCATGAGCATAATGGTAACATAACTGAAAAGCAGCTATAGGATATTAATTTTATTTTTTAAGCATAAATACAAAAGCCCTTCCAGTCATTTCAAAGTCTATAGGAAAATGGCTTTCTGTCTTCCTGCTGAGTTCATGGGCTCACTCACACATTATGGGTCATACTGACTCATTTATTTTTGGTATGAAACTGGATGCTCATTGGATAACGACATGTTAATCACGCGCCTTTAGCCAATAAGCATGTGGTTTCACAGTCAGACCTGCTCATCTCTCATCACATCTTTTTTTTTTTAACAAAATGGCAACGATTGCAAAAAAAAATCTTGAGCTTTCAGCAGCTTCAGAAACCAGTGGGTGATGTCACAATGACTGTGTCCATCATTTATGCTGCCTGTGGTAACTAGGCTCTCTTGTCCATGACAGTAGGTTGCTTTCCATCCAGATTAACTGTATGTAGTGAAAGCAACTGACAGTGTATGCCTTGCAGCTATCGTCGATTATTACCACACAGAGTGCACACTTGACAATGAAGGCTGTATACCTCCCAACAGATTTGTATTAATTAAATGCCCTGAGGGTAGGTACCACCACAGTGTTATTCCTTTTTATTTTCCTACTTACACATTTTTATCTCTCTTTCACCTACCTAGAGATATCCAGTCCTTAAAGTAGACTTGGTTTAAATGGATACCATCGAATCTGCCGAGGGAATGCAGGGGGGACAGAGAAGCGAAGTCATGTAGTGGAACATTGTTTTAATAGAGCCACTACAGACAAGAGGAAGCAAAAGAAGCACAAAGGGTCAAGAGCTAAAGCAAGGCTAAAAAAAGACAAGCTGAAGGAGGAGGAGGAGGGAAAAATAGGATATGCTGACTTCATTAACGCAATCTGTAAATGTACACCAGAGGCCATTGAAACTCTATTCAAATCTATAATAATGAAATTCTGTGTAGCATCAGGTCTTTCAGTGGGTAACTCTCTGGATTACATGGGGAAAATGTAAGATTACAGATATGCAGATTTAAGCTTTTGTGTTTTGCTACATGTTAAATTTCATTTGCAATTCTGCTTAAATGTTTCGTTTTTAATGTAATTAACATATCTCGTTTGATTTTAGTATGTACTTGGTCAAACCTGATGTATTCACAAAAATGTGTATTAGGAGAAGCTGTTAACATGAACAGATATTCACTCATTCCATCTTTAAGTCTGAGATCATCTGGCTTCACTGATTCTTGTGAAGCTGCTTGTAAACTCTGGGTGTATTGATTGGGTTTTGAGCATTTTCATGTTAATGTGGAGGAGTTGTTGGAAAGCGTGAAGAGTCAACATCAGAACCATGAGTGATAGTACAGGTTAATTAAGCTTGACTTTAGTTATATCGAAAGTGATACTCCAGGAGGAGAGCTGTTGGCTCAGACAGTAGTCTTTCTTGTTAGTTATTTTGTTTAATAAAGTCTGTTTTATTTAAATAAATCTTTTGGGTCAGCTCCTTTTTGTCACTTTCTTTGAGCAAGTTTGTTGCAAATTTCACATAATGAGAACAGAAGAAGATGCAGAAACCGGAGACCTAATTTCCGAATATTTAGGATATAAATAGAGTGCTAGAGTTATTAGAAAAGGCTAATAATGAACAAATGTGATTTACTGAAAAGAAAAAAATGTCATGTCAGACTGTTTCTGCTGCCAAAACCCAAAGTAGAGGAGGAGGAGAAAAGTAGTTAATACCAGACCTTATAATCCTGGGATAATACAAGACAACCATTTCCAGTTATCATCACAAAGACTCCTGGTCTTATTCTGAGCTTTCTGTGAAGAAAAAAGAATGTAAATGCTTCAACATTGACAGGTACAGAATTAAAGTAACTGAGCCTAGAAGACTGGAACAACAAAAGAGTTTAGCTGATGAATGAAAAAGTCACTTTATAAACTCCTGTTTCCTGTCAGGGTATTTTTGAAATGATGAATTTGTATTTGAGGGTGAGTTGTTGAGCTTTATAGATGTTTTAATGGGATCTTCTAAAGATAGCTGCACAGCACGGGTCAAAATGAAGATCTGTACCAAAAGTGTGAGTGAAAGTTAACCTGAATAACCTGATTGGGTTCGTATAATCGTAAAGTTCCAATTTCAAGCTATACGTTGAATACTGCAGGAGGCACAGTGGTGCACTGTTGCCTCACAGCAAGCAGGTCTGTAAGAAGGCTGTATGAATGGTGGTCTGTCTCTGTGTTAGCCCTGTGACAGAATGCCAGCCCGTCCAGGCTGTACGTTGTTTCGCACCCACAGAGATAAGCTCCAGCCCTCCCGCAAAACTGAATTTGATAAGCAGAAGGAAATAGGTGGATGGAAATTGTAGACGTATTGTAGACATCATCATCTTGTTTCTATAACACTCAGACAAGAATGAAAATGTGTTGTGGTTTTGACTGACAGACTAAGGATACTGCAATTTGTCATTAACAGCCAGGCCCTGAAGCATAGTTTAGGAGGTGGCTTTAAATCCCAGATCCATGGAGTTATGTCCATCCTTTATATATGTCCAAAAATAGCTGAATAGCCCACTGACTCTTTGTGCTGCTTCTGTCAGACAGACACAACGAGTCAGACATTAACAACATATATTCCTCCTTCATACTTCCATATTAACATCACTTGTCACTCTGCAAAGACTAGAAGCTAGTTAGCATATACTCTGCATGGGCTTTAATGTTCCCCACATTGGGCTCGCTGGAAAAATGGTAATGTATTAGTGTTTCTGTCTAACTCGTAGACATCTCCTACAAAGTAGGAGCTTTCCATCAATATCTCTTAGACTGCAGATCAAATTTACTAAAGAAGTATGCCACCAACTTGAGGCTATGTTTAGTCCATACTTCTCTAGATCCTGTTATCTCTCACTCCAGGACCAATGACCCTTGCCCAGTCCTCCACCACTAGTGGCATTATCCCACCAGATAAGGTCCTCTGTCAGTCGCATCAACCTGTGCGACATTGTGACATTTGGCGAGTCGAACAGTGCCGCCGCTTTTTTGCTGACCTTTCACAAAGGCTTCAGCAACACTGTGTCACAGGAGTTGCCCTCGACTGCATTTGTGGCCGACACAATCCTGAACTCAATTTGCGCTCTTGCTAAAGGGTGGAATGATTTTGCAGGTCTAAGAGATGTGCTTCTTTGATTCTCCACTTGCAGACAGGTGCATTCTAATCTTCAACTATAAACATGGATGAGTGAAGGTATTATATATAAACAAGCAAAATATCCATCTTCACATCTCTAGCATTAGATTAAATTGTGCCTCTTATTGCAGCATAACAACAGCGATGGTAAATTTGAGCTTCCTGTAAATAATTGCAAACCTTTATGAGACGTAAGGTATCGCGACAAGAATGCCTTTGGTAACACTGCCACCCAGTGTGCAGAAGAACAGCTGCAGCTATTTACTGCTATTTTTCTCAGTATCAGTGCCTAAATGCTAATGCAGCTCCTTCATAGTGCCAAACTGAAGTGACTTTATTCATTCCTTATATGAGAGCTACTGCAAACATTACACAATAAAAGACTTTTAACTGCATTTATCTAATCAAGTCTGCTACTAGTTTGTTGATATTCTCAGTCCAGCAGAGTTTACAGACCTTGAATGCTAATGGTACTATTAGAATGCAGTGCATGTCCGCACTGTGCAGGGACTCCAGCCTTCTTGCAGTGAGCAAAGCCCTGACATGTATACACACGCGCTGAACTCATAGTTCTTTCTATAACATATAAACCCACTATTTGTCTTCAGGGATGCTTGGGCATCTTGAAGCTTAAAGATCTATATTTCCTTCTTTGCTCACCCAATCCCTATAACAGTGACCTGTTTGCCCTTCTCTTTCTCCTCTATGTCTTTTTTTTATTATTTTATTTTCATTATTGCTTGTTATTACAACGACATCTGATTGAACCTGTTCCTGTTAATCATCAGTTTTCATCCAATCATCGCTCAGACACTTAAGCAATCTGAAAATTCTAACTGTCACATTGTTGCAGATCTTTGATTGCGCTATCTATATGCAAATGATGTGTGAAATTCGACCGCAGCTCGTATTTTGCAGGCTTTTGTTGGGAACCTGTGTAACTCAATATCATCTATTAAAAAACCAAGTCACATATTCGGTAAGTTATAAAGAAGCTTTGTGGGGGGGGGTTATTTATTTGCAGCAGCCTTGGATAACTGTAATAACAATTTTCAGCACCAATCCATTCAACACATAGTGTGTATGTGTGTTTACAGTTGCCTAGTTGCTGAATGTGCACAGCCTCGCGTTCTCTCCCAGCAGCTGCGTGTTTCCCAAGGCTATCGATTTTCTTATACAGCACATAGCAGAACAGCATGCAAATCTTCCACATGATCAACTCTCAAATAGGAATGAGGTAAGTAACGTTTAATGGAGTTTAGTGTTCTGATTTCAAACTTTCATGAGGCTTCATAAAAGCAATTATGTTAGATGTCGGATACAAATGCAGAAGATTCAAGAGAATCAAATTCATATAACAGGATAACATATGCTCACATAGACTTAATTCAAAATGGTTTAGTGTCATCATCATGTTTGAGATTTGTGTATTTGGAACCAGGATGTATCTTTATTAAAATGCAAACCAAGCTATTTTTAGAAGACTACTTTGATTTAATAGAGTGATTGTCTAGCGCTGGTGTGATTATACCAGCTTCAGTTATTCTAGAGGATCAGATTAAGTAGTAGCAGCCAGTATAGTGTAGTATATTACAGCTTCAGAAGTAAAACAGCAACGCTCATTCTGGTGCTCTGATGATGTGGACAAGGAAAGGAAATGTGGGGGTTTTTTTTATTTTGTTTTGTTGCTTTTGCTTGCTTGTTTGTTTTCTGACTTTTCCTTATCCATACAGCCCAGATTTGTTCATTTTGGCTTTATAGTGATGGAGCTTTCTTAATGGACTTGAGGATAAATTGTTCAGAATGAAAACTCTAAAGTGGCCCCGGGCAGTTAAGGGACTGTACAAACTCATTTGAGTGGAGTCAAGTATAAGACATTTTAATGTTGTATCTGGTACAGAAAGAGAAAGCTAGTTAAGACATTAAGATTTTTTTCTGTATTCTGTCAACTAATATCCCAAACCCAGATTACAGGGTATATAAGTAACATAGTTCCAAATTTTAATTGCAAATGCCTTATGTCTCCAAATCTAGCTACTGTTTACCACAATATTCTCTAATATAAACAGTAATAAGTTAATCAAGTTAATGTTTGCACCCTAGGCACCAATATATACATTAGTAAGATTAAAAATGTCCAAATATATGGTCAACACTGAAAAGTTATGCATATTCCAGTCAGTCTAATAACTTGTTTTTGCTTTCCAACACTATTAAAACTCTCATTTGCTCTTCCTTTTTCTGACACCTGGTCCTTGCAAGAAATAAATCTGATAATGAAGCTATTTACATAAATGTCAACGTGTGGAAACTGATGATGAAGAAATGAACATCGCGAGACTTGCTGTAAGTGCCACTGTTGATCAGTGAAAAAGAATCAGTCTGAGGCGACACAGATTAGATAGGAAGGAGCAGCTGATGTACAGTAGCTACAGTAGCTTCTCTCTTGTGTCTTTTTTACATTGCAAAGCTAACAGCAGCCAATATGTCAGCCCCAGCAATGTAATGCTCATGTTCAAATAGATAGCCATTCAGGTAACTCTAATAATGTGTATATATATATATATATATATATGGCTTATACCACTAATCTTGAGCGTACATATGGTTTCCTCCAACTTTGAGGAATAATCTAAGGATAAATGCAGTACTATAGTGGCTTTTAGCAGTGTAAAAGGCCCTAATAATCATATGATTATGTAACTACAGTTTAGCAAGAGTGAAATTTAGAAGAAAGAAAATTTAAACTAACATGTCTCGTCTGCTTAATCAAATTATAAATGGTTTAGTAATTACAATGCCTAACATAACAATGCTACATCCATGTCAGTCAGGTGGTGCTACACGGGCTTGTAAAGAAATCTCAAAAGATTTAGAAAAAGATTTAATCCGTTCAAAACTTCTTAATTAGTTCACTTGCATTTCCCAGCAGTTCAAAAAAACAAAGTGTAAAGGTAAGGTGATTTTTATTTTAGGAGGTTAACAGCTATTATTTATCATACAGCAACATTTTTATGCAATAACATATCCGTGAAATAGGCTGGAGATGACATCATATACAACCATATATCATAGTCTGACTACCGGTAGTTGCATTGTGCAGCAAGTGCAGATACTCAAGTATATATAGGAGTTATTTTTCAGCTGTAGCTGCATTTTTGCAGAACGTATATTTGCATCCGTTTGCCTAAAATGTGAGAAACCACATTCATCTTTCTTAAAATGCCAATAACAGCAGCAACATTGCCTGTGCCTGCTATTAGTCAGTGATTCAGGCATGCAGATGAGATGTCTCAGTGAGCCGTCTTGCCACAAATCTCTGCACGCTTGTCACGCTCATGCTCTCCCATTAGACCATGTTTTCTACATCTCTGCATCTGCATCGGTGCGTCGCAGCTTGATCTAACCTTCAGGTTAAGGCCGTTTGACACAGGCGGTTATCAGATAGTATTATCATGGAACTGCCATGTCCAGACGAGCACTGAGCACATACAAGGTCTGATAAGGTCCATGGCAGTTGGTGGGTCGTGTTTTTTCTTGAGCCCCACCGGACCAGAGTGTTCTGTAGTTGTAAGCCAGGTGGAGGAGTCAGCCTGTGTAAACTGGATAAAGAGAAACTCTGTTGACCTATGTATTTGCTTTGGTCTTGAATTTTGTGTAATGATTAGGCTCTGAGGCCAGTTCAGCAAGATAGTAAGAGCTTTAAATCATGATAGTGGGTTTGCTGGTACAACAGCTGGTGCCATCTTGGAGTACTAATGCATCATGAGTGTAGAGTTGCCTGGCAGGACTGTATGTGACATTAAAACTAAATTAAAAGTAAAAATACCATTCATTTTTGTTTGTTATTCGTTCAACAAACCTCCAATAGCAGATGGATTACAGAAATACTTGTAGTTTCAAATATTTTACAGTTATAATTGTTTAAAAAATTCCTGTTTTGACTGTTTTTGTACCACACTGTATTTTATTGGTCCCACAATCTGGAAGGTTCTCATTCTTTAGCCTACATCTGAGCTATGATTTTGTAGCAGTTGGTAAATTTTGCTTGTGTGCGAGCATTCATTTCCATTAGTATTCATTTCAACCCATGTTTCAAGCTACTAAATTGATATAGCTCCGACTCCGAAAGTTCAGCTCTATCCGTGCTAAATTCCTCGTTGTTCACTAGCTAGCAGCTGTATAGCTGTGTGTGTTAGGATGCCTGGGTCGTTGACCCAGGGTTTTTGAGTTTATAATATTATTTATAATTTCTAGTCTTTGGGTTTTTGTTAGAGTCATGTCTTATGGTTTGTCTCTATGTAATCCTTAGTTGCTGTCTCCCCTGTCCGCTATATCCCCGTGTCCAGTCAGTGTTTGTGTCTGCCCTGGTCCCACGTCTCTGTTCCCTCTGTTGTAGTGCCTGTATGTGAGTCTGTGTCTTTGTTCAGTCTGTGTTATGTGTTTCCTGTTTTACTTTGAAGGTCTCTGTCTTATCTCAGTGTGTTCAGTTTATGCTTCCTTGTCTCGTCAGTTCTGATTTGCCCCAGCTGTGTTTCCCTCCTGTTGTCCATTCCCTGATTGCTCCCTCTATGTATTTAAGCCCTGTGTTGCAGTTTGTCATTGTCGTGATCTACCCTTATCTTGTTGTGTGTTCTGTGTAAGGTTATTTTGTAGTCTCAGTTTTGTTACCCTTTTTAAGTTGAGCATTAAAGCTGTTTTGAGTTCAAGTTTCTGGAGTCTGCATCTTGGGTCCTTTTCCTGCCTGCACACAGCCGTCACATAACAGTGTGTGTCTGTTGCTTTGTTTGGCAACTGGCACTGATGTGTTTTTTTTTTACTTTTATGCTCGATCAAAGCTGCTGACAGCAAGCAAACGATATTAAAAAAATGTGCAGTCTGTAAATATTCAGGTTGAAACTACAACTACTGTAACAGTCAGAAAATGGATCTGCTCGCCCATGTGACCAGACATTCGACGGATACTGCAAGTCCTGTCTTATAACACTCGTGGCTATTTTCACTATTGCAAAAACTGTTAACTGATATAAAAATTACCCAAAAAAAAACCTATTATATAAACTAAAGACTAATATTTTAATCATGTATAATATTTGATATTTAATATTTAATCTAATATTTTTAGGCATCAAGCCATTAAGTGATGTAAAATTAGAAATACCAAGGGTGGGTGGAGGAGCTAGAAAGGATACGAAAGGGGAAGCCAACAGTAATAATTGGAGCCCTCGGGGCTGAACTGGTAGAGTGACTCCAGCAGGTTCCAGGAACGACATCCGAGATCTCTGTCCAGAAGAGTGCAGTCCTAGGAACAGCTAAGACACTGCAAACTCCCAGACCTCTGGCAGAGGAGGAAACAGGGATCAAAATACTGACGGTCTCATCTTCTCACAGTTCCTTCATTCTCTTGCTCTCCAGTATTTTTTACTGTTCTCCTCCCTAATCCCCATCCCAGATTCTCTATTCCACAGATAAAGACTGACTCTCCATCCCTCACATTAAATTTTGGGCGACAAAGATGTCAGTGCTGTTGTCCTGACTCTCTAGAAAAGGCTTTCCTCTGAGATCCACAGCACTCGATCTGTGGACATTTTCCAAAAAGTAGTTGAAATAATAGTTATTCAAGCTTTGGGGCTTTGACTTGTTACTTTGTCATTATTATTATTATTATTATTATTATTATTATTATTATTATTATTATTATTATTATTA